TGTAAAATATTTATATATGTATACTAATTATATATTTTTAGTATTTATATAGTGTTAACATATTGCCTTACAGACCTTAAACACTAATGGTGCTCACAATCTTCACTAAAATCTCTAGCACTGGCTAATATTTTGTAGGGATTCAAAAGACAATCCATATATTTTTTTACTAAATTATAACATGAGAAAGATCATGCATCAGTTTTCTAGCTGCTCAGCGATTGATATAGGAAAAGACATTTTAAGATATTAGTGTCATTGTGCTAGTGTAGACAATCTAACACAGCTCCCACGGTACACTAGTCTTCCTTCTAGAAACTCTGTACAAAACCACACAAAAAATGTACGTTTGCTATTGATATAACATGTTATCTCTTATCTGAAAACCCTTATTGATGCTAATTGCTGTAGCCTATCACTGTGATCTAACCATGGTTTAAACTTATCAGTATTGAGTTTTGTTCACACAGTTATGTATCTTATAGTTTTGTCCTATCACACAACTGGTAGGGCAGCTATTTCCTAGTAACCGATGGTGGGACTGGGCTGTTGTTGTTTTACCCAGCCTTCATGGAATAAATCCATCCAGTCGGACCCAAAATACTGTAGATCCATGAAATCTGAATAACTAAGCATCCAAGGACAATATCGGTGTGCCAAGCCTCTGCTGAGAGCCGACCCTTGGGCTGTATACCATTCTGGTGCAGTAAAGCTGATGTCAATGCCGTGGAACTGGTATGCAGCCAGACCAAATATGAGAATGTCAGTTTGATGCTTCTCACACAAGTATTTTGCTTAATGAAGATTCTCTTTAAAGCAAAAGTTAATGGAAAAAATGCACCACTATGATGTTTGAAGGCTGTTCAGTGCCATAATGTTCTCAAGTCATAGTAAGAAACAGGTATCAGAGGGTGTGGGTTCAATGATGCTGGCCACCATTCAACCTGGACAATTAAAAGTAAAGTCCACTTTGTAGAAAAAAATAAAAATAAATGCACACTTCATATAAGTGTATATATATGTATCTTGAAGGGGTTGTTTAGCCAGACATTGTACAGTTGATATCCACAAACAATCACTAATGATATGCTGAGGTTTGCGAGTCTTCACACTCAAAGGAACTAGCAACTGTATGTGGTGATGGAGTCTTCGATATTGTATATGCATTTGTAAGTGTATGATTACTGCACATCAGTGATGCGCGGTACCTTTGGTTCCGGTTAAGGCATTTCCCATCCTCGCCCCCAGCGAAGAGTAACAGGTAGCGCTCCGTCCATGACAGGTTACGCAGCGGGGAAGATTTCCTTGCTGTGTAACCTACTAGAAGCTGATCTAAATGGAGAAAAAGCTGTCAGCTTCAGACATGAAGCGGACAGCTTTTTTCCTCCATAATACTAGGTGAGGCTCTGCCTCCCCTGACCGCACGAACCTGCTGTACATGTAGTATAGATCTATGTATATATTTATATTATGTATAAGATATTTGGTTGATATGTGTTGTTAATTATTTATATATGTTAATGATATATGTCTCAGACAAATGTGAGTGGTTTCAAATGTATATAATTATCCCCAGTCCTGAAGAAGTGGAATACCGTGAAACACCTCGACTTTGGGCAATATTATAGCCTTTGAGGATACTTTATGATAATATGCATATAAGTACATGTCTGGTTTTATTGAAAATTATAATATGATGTATTAATAAAGTAACATTTGTTACATTTTATATGCATGTATTGGTGTAATGACTATTGTTTTTTCCACAACACTACATTTAAAGCCCAATTTTTTACATGATTGCTTGACAGGTTGAAAACTTTGTTTGATCGCCAGTGTTTTCCATATGGTAAACCATTTCTAGAGGTGCCAGAGGCATACCTACTCCTTCCCTCTACCTTGGTTGCACACAAATCATTCAATAATGATACTTTTCATGTTTATGGTAGTATTAGAAGATTCAGATGTCTGAGGGGTCTTATCATGCCTGGATCTTTGGCTACCTTCTTATGTCTGTTGCTGCCCTTTTAATAAGGCAGATTTCAGGTGGCTCTGCTTTTTGAATTATGTCCACATCATTGGGAAATGTGATGATGAACACACAATGATGTCCAACATTCTGCTGAATGATATAAGCTTTAAAATATTTGCAATAAGTTGATGCATGATATAAAACAATGTGATGAGGCTGATTTAATAAAAATAAAATACTGTGTGAAAACATGTGAACACTTCAGATATCCAATCATGTGAAAAGCAAATTCCAGTTGACTTACTTTGAGTAATCAATCATGTGCAGATGCTTCTCACATGATTGAATAAATATGTTGTGTGAAGATAAGATTCTCAGCTTCTTTAGTAAATCAGCCTTAGTGTTTACAATGAAATATGTTTATCACTAAAATAAATATAAGGTATAATGCAGTGCATTCTTATGCAACCAATTACAAGTGAAAATATGAATAGCATGTGTATGTGGCAACCTCTAACTTCAAAACAACATTTGCAGATGATTCCTTTGTATGTTCACTTCTATAATATAATCTATATTATCACATCTAAATCCCACCATATATGTCTAAAAGATTTCTGTTTGACAAGAAATGTAATTTCTTGTCAAACAGAAATCTTTCTCAGGACAGACCCATACCATTCCCCACCAGAGGGGTAGGCAAACTCCAGCCCTCCAGCTGTGGTGCAACTACAAATCGCATGAGGCATTGCAGGACTCTGACAGCCACAGGCATGACACCCAGATGGAGATACATGATGGAATTTGTAGTTTCACCACAGCTGGAGGGCCGGAGTTTGCCCACCCCTGTACTGCAATAGCATTGAAGATGCCATGGTAGTTTTAAAAAAAAAGAAATAGAGTTAGTCTGAAATGTTTGCACTACTCATTCTTGACAATTGATGAGAGAAAACCTTGTGGCTCTAATGGCTCTGAGTAGTAACATTAGCTGTCTAAAAAAAAAAGGACTTGTCATGGGATCAACCCTGGCCAAAATGATGGCAAGCACTGAAAGAAAAGTGCATTGTTCTTGTGAGCAGCATCAAGCCTCAAGCATCAAGCCTAAAAGAACAGTTGTGGAAGGATATATGCATAACTAGACATCTATGATATGTTACCTTGCTATATGTACACATATAGGACATAGGACTTAAAAGTAATATGTTCAAACCTGGTCTTAAAGAATTTACCGCAAAATGCATCAAGATGGGGTCATCACTTTCATATCATACATGTGATGTACATGTTTTTTGTGCATATATATATATATATATATATATATATATACACACATACA